ATATACATAAATTTTGATTTTTCACGTTTTCATTCTAAAGAAAAAAGTTATGATCGATAATACTGAGCAAAAATACTTGTTTCAGGACCCTTTTAATAGGACTCTTTCAGGAGGCATCAGGCGACGCAGGAATCATGAAGTGAGTTATTGATACTAATTGTTTAACGTAAATATTTAACATAATATGAAATAGTATATGTAATCAATGTCTGCACTGTCTTCTATATGTAGTGTCAAATTTTAGTCTAATTTAAATCACCACTGCTCCTACTCAATATATCGTTATTTTATATTTTTATACTAAAACAAGTATTTAGTATAAAATAACGAGTAGGAACAGTGGCGATCTAAATTATACATAAATATTCACCAAAATCTTCAAATTACTTTCAATGAATGAGTTACGTTTGCATACCTCATGCTTTATTTTTACTAACGTCGCTTAAGATTAATTTCATTTGATTGAAAGCAATTCTGAAGAGAAACGTAATACTGTTTACTATAAATTCGAATTCGCGAAAATATGCGAGAAATTAATTCATAAACATATATTACATATAATAAATTTTAATTTTTTCATAAATTTCAATACTATTAATTTGTTTCGATTAAAAAGAATTTTTAATATTTATTTGGAGAATAAAATTTACTTTCAAATATTAAATTGTCTATGTCAAAATATGTTTATTATATCGATTAGAAACTGCTTTCTGAGAAATAGTGAGTTGAAATTCCGTAAAAGAAACGCGACTTTAATTCTGCAACTCTAATTCTGAACTGACAGATCTTATTGACTATCTCGTGAAATTGCCTTTTCCTTCTTTTACTTGTCCGCCATCAGAAATCTTGTATTTCACTCTTAGTCAGAGAAATATCATTGAAACGATCGCCTAAGTAGCAAGTGATTTAAATCGCGTCAGATAACAGCGCGGCTTGGAATATGTACAATTTGTTTATCGACTCGACGAGTTTGGCCAATCTCCGCATCTCCGCTAACGATTCAAACTGCGATTACGAATGGCGATCGATCGGTATTTTGCGTGTTCATGCATGCGAAGAGTCCGAGGGCAGAATACGGTTATGTCGGCCAGGTGTGTGTGTCACCGGCAAATAAGCGGAGCGTGAGAAGAAGTTTGCAAAGGTATAACCGTCTTTAAACGCGAGTGAACTTGGAGGAATCCCTGTTGCTCTACAGAAATAGAAACTTACGTATAGAATGAGTTTAATTAAATGGCTATAAATATATAATGAAAAAAGATGCGAGAAATAATCGCGTACGGTCTACCTAATAATTATATATAATCTATCCTCGGACAAAGAGGATATTTCATTGGCCTAACGGGGAGCGAAGAGGTTGCGGAGTCATCGGGGCAGATCTCAGGTGCTCCGGTGCTCGGCGACTCGTGTCGGGGAGATGCGATACAATTAGCAGCAGAGATGCGTACCGGGCACGGAAGCAAGCGCATTCCCGAGCGCAGTGGATCCGTTAAGCGACACCGGCTCCTCTCGAGAGTCGAGCGCGCGACTTCTTCAATCGCCGACCACGGACGCCGGTCCAATTATCCGCGGGCGATTAAGCTCCGTGGCCGATGCAAATAAATGCGAGCGGGTGCCGCCAAGGAATTCCCCGTTGTCGTTAGCCCCCCCACTGCGGGATTAATATCGGCTGTTAAAGCCCGCGACCCGGAAAAATCTGACGATGACTCAGACCGCGATCATCGCGTAGAAGCTATCTCCGAGCATCGTAATAGTCCGGATCGCGATGCTTGCCCATACGAACGATTCGGACATTATCCCAGGTCGCGGATGCTTCTGATTTGCTCTAAAAGCCGCTTCTTGAAATCGTTGGATAGAAACACAATTCTCTCAATTTCTGCACGCGAGAGATCCACTGAAGAAATAATAAAAAAAAATCATGATTATTATTTTATCGATGTATTGCACGTATTTATTAACAAAATTTAAAAATTACAGATTTGTCTATATTGTATTTGTGAAAGTAACATAAAAAGCTTAGCGGCGTTTTAGAACTTATTGTTGGACTGAAAATTATTTTAATAAGGAAACTGTTTTCTTTTTTAAATAATTAAGATAAAATTAAAAAATTTTCATTCAAACTATAAAATTGTATTGTCGAATACACAAAAAACTATTTCATGTAATACAATACTTAAATATAAAGTATACTTTCAATTTTTGTCACTTTTTGCAGACTATACATCTAATACATTGTTAAATAATAGTTTATCTATATATATTTATTAAAAATCTAGCGGTAAATCCTATAATTTGGCGTTAATTTTGCTGATATTACGAGAGAGAGAAATTGCACAATAATATTTAGCAAAAGTATGTTTCTAAAGTGACAAGAAAATCGTGTTAATTCGTTTTGAAAAAAATTCAATGATTTTACGAGATGAAAAATATACTGACATACCGATTAAAAGAAGAACGAAAAAATAGATTCTGCCACAATATGAAAAGAAGAGAGAGGGAGAGAGAGAGAGAGAGAGAGAGAGATACGGTCACTTCTCGAGTTATATACGCTATCAAATGCAAGTCTTCCGCTATATGGTCAACAACCTCTTTACCTCACTCTCCGGCCTTTATGCCGCTTTATAATAATGCAGTCGAGACGGTACCGTTCGCCTTTCGACAATATAACAGGAGGATGGCGAAGTGTCGCCGACGCCGCGTGACAATAGCGATCGACCATAGGCGATTTCTTCCTCGACAACGCGAGATCCGACACGAACGGTACTTCGCTCTTGGGAAACCGGACAACCGGAGTGTGATTGACATCCGATGATGACGAGCACGATCGACAGCCTCTTTGACGTCTCTTGATCTCTTTCAATGTCCCGCTAATATAATACTAAATTCAGGATACATCATGCGAAGCTTAAAGATTTTTTTTACTAAATATTCATAAAAAGTGGCTGCATTGAAATGATAAAGAAGTTAATTTGTAAATTAATACATTTTTTTAAGTTAAATCCCTGTTTTCTGTTATAAAAATTTATAATTTCAAGATATTATATACAGAAAGTATTATATACAGAATTACAGCTTAATCTTTACAGAAAACAGAGATTTAACTTAAAAAATGTATTAATTTACGACGTTAATCATGCATGCAGTCTTATTTTTTTCTATTCTATTTGAAATAACATTTGACGTTATAATAGTTATACATTCTGTTACGAATTTTTATAACATTAGTTTTATACTTTTATGTTATCATCGCAACGCCAAAAATATTCCTACAGTACGTGAGAAAGTATGATTATGAATATTTATATGGTACTCAAAATTCTCATGCTGGTCCGAGAATGGACTGCGACGAAAACGTTAACGAAATGACTTTATCGTTTCGGTAATTATCATACCGGGAGAATTATCTCTCAGACGCGAACGTCTCCATCGCACGCCGCAACAGCCGAGTAATCCGATAAGCGAATTAAGATTAGTGGCTTCTGATGCGCCGCTAAGTGACGATCGACGTTCGCATATCAACTGACTGTAGAGACATGGAACGATAGAATCATCCGACAGAATTGATCACCCTCTCTGGTCGTATGAGATATCACTAAAGTGTCGTATACTCTCACCAAGAGAATTAATCGTCGTATC